AAATGGAATGTAAGTCATGCGTGTAAGTGTCAAACGACAAGACTAGTAAGTGCGACGACGACGTATCGACATTTTAAAAATATCGATATATGTCTATTTATGTGCCGTTATCAACCTACAATGTCTTTTTCTCATCACACTAACCAGTATATTGTTTTAGTATTTTTCTGTAGGAAAATAACGTAACTATATTCTATTTATTTTGGTGTAGCAAAAATCTTTTAAAAAGAGTCAAAAATATTCTAAATTATTTCTAATTAGGTTGATTTAGTCACTACAGTACTAGTTACGATAGCGTATGAGTAAACCCGTGGGCAGAAGCAAATTCATAATCATAATAGGTAAAACTTCGATAGATATTTCAAGCCAAAGTTATAACAATCGATTATCGATAAAACGTTCCATAATATAATAATGTCATCACGCATCCCTAGTCAGTTCGTGATGGCGATTCTGACATTACGTACTTAGGTCAAATAAAATCTTTAAAAATATCCAATCTCTTATTAGACTTATACAACACATGGCGGTATAATGATAAATCATAGAAAAAATATTTAGTAAGTTTACTATTAGTCAGTTTTTTAAACGCTTCAGTTTTAGGTAAATATGTTTCTGCCATTGTTCTTTGAATACTAAAGGTTCAGTATATTGCTGCTACTGAAATTAAGGCGGAATGACAATGTTTGAATAAATAAATTTTACCGCAACAAAATTTATTGTTTTTTTCTATAAAAATAATATGATTTAGGTTATTATAAATTAACAGATTATATTATAGTAAATAAATACCATAGAAAGTAAGCTTGGAATTAAGTGGCGTCTTCACCTATCGTTGCATATTTTGCACCTGAAATAATTGGAATAATACGCCATTATCTTATATGAAGGTAGCATACAAAGTATAAAAATAAGTGAATGATGAACCATTTTGACTTAAGTCTTTTCTCCCGTTGCTTAAAAAATTCTTGCAGTTATTTAAGCGATTATGAGGGCTTGGATAATTTAATGATATAATATTATAAACAATGCAGATTAGAATGTAAGTGGTATGTGAATTAGAAAATTTTGAGTTAATGTTTTAAAATAGGTAATTCCTACAAAAAAATTGAAACGAGCACTGATTTTATGGTTCAAAACTAGAGATTTAGGGAGCGAAAAATAATTTATGTATTATACGTATATATTTTATTTAATCAAACACAAATATATATGTTATGTATAAAATATTTAATCAATGCTTCGACTATTTTATTTAGTTTATTTATTTACAATTGCATCGTTTCCATTAATCAAGTAATTATGTTCAGGTGCTGTCTAATGGGTGTACTTTTTTATTTGAATGATTTCTAATATTTTTTGGAATAATTGTGTTATTAAAGATCAAATTTGTATACCAACAATTCGATCGAATTGGTATATCTGACGATAACTTTTTTATTTTTTCTATTAGTGCAAAACTCTATCTCCCTAGTAATTTATTAGACAATTATTTTGACCAAGTATTAAAAAGATAAAAACAATATTTTTATATGATCTTTGTATGATGGTGAGATTTATAAAGTACTGTACTAATAACAATATTCCGAATTAGACATGAACCCATTAGGTCAGCAAAATAATCCAAACAATAGGTATACTGACTTTTACAACAGTCACATTAAAGAAGCACCAATATATTGTAAGAAAAACCAACAGGCGTTTATAATGATTTTTTTCTACTTCAAACTTATAAACATATTTAATAAAGCGAAGCGAATGCCATTTTTAACGGTGTTTTCCTTCAGTCAACCTTTGCGAAGCGATATGTGACAGGTGTATTAAAATTTATAATAAACATATCGGCGCAACTACTTAAATGGAGCCGATGCCAATAAAAAGCTAAGAGGTTTTGGAACATTACAGTTAATTTATTCGCGTAATTTAATCATTAATTACTTGATTCATGAAATTACAATCTATTTACGACGAATTTATTAATAGTTATCATTATTCAATACTTAACCTATAACACCACATGAGCGCAGATCATTCTCGCCGTCGCGTCGTTGGGTTGTTCGGATCTTGGAATACAACTTTAATTGTATTTACTGTTGCCTTTATTTACTACTGTACGGATCTAGGTACGACTGTTGATAAGAACTTGATTGACATCTTTAATTGTCATTGTATTGATCAATCTTTAATTGACAAAGGAAATCACGACTATCTAATATCGATCGAATCGATGTTAGCTTTGCCGACGTCACCCTTTTTTAAAAACAACCTAGTCACCGGTCCTCTGACATACACATTACATAGAGCATTGATATAATACATTACACTTTGACTCAATTACTTAGAGTATACACAACTACGTACATACATAGAAATAGAAAAAAAATGATATTTTTGAAATATAATTTTTACGTGACCGTGACCGCATCGAGGTTTGCGGTGGGGCGATGTGTCGTAATAGAACCGACTAAAACCACACGGATTGCCACTTTGCGCCTGAAATAGGAGGGACACGGGAACAGCTGTTATTAAGACATCCGGACCCAACTTGTGCTATATTAAGTTATGTACATATTTGCAGCACTTTGAATATTTTAAACAAAATTATTTTTAATGTAATATAGATTCATTCCTACACAAATTTAAGTATTTTCTTAAATATTGTTGTGTTATTGTTGTGTTGTTATTATATGAACTGTATGTATTGTATGTGTATTGTTATATGTACAAGCGATAACTATTCTAGTTCTATGACTAATGAGCGTGTCTTACCATAACAAATGCACCGTAATAATTAGGGTAACTATGGATTTGGAGCTACATAAATATTGTCATGTGTCAAAATGAACAGTATATTTGGGGAAAGTTTTTTGATCCTCATAAATGCATTCTTGTCCTAGAATTTAGCGCCTCTAAGCTAATATATCTATCTAAGCTAAAATAATTTGGTTTGTGTATTTTAGACCTTTAAACCTCCACCTCGACATTTAGGCTTAAGTAACTTTTAGATGCATGAAATATAAATGACAAGTTTTTAGTGGTTACCTGCGTATCTAGGTGTGTTATGGATACATGTGTGCTATTGTTTTGAAGACCAATTCTTTAAGTAAAATTTGATCGAGGATTAGTAATTATGCGTCGTCTGATTTGATCACAGCCAACAGCGTTAGATCTAATAGAGAGTATTATCTTTCTTAATTTTTAATACTTAATACTGCTCTTAAAACTTTACTAAAAATACTTGTATATAAAATACTTATGACAGTTGAGATTGAGAGGGGTGCGGGGTCCGGCACCTCCTCTTAATCTCAACTCTTTCCTTCCTTTTTCCTTTCCTTGCCGTGGTTGCAAAAGGGGGCAGGGGGGTTGCGTAGCGGCGGTGGTTGGGGATATAGCGGTGGAGGCTGCTTATTACACGCCAAACCGAGACATAACTGAGTACGAGCAATGGTTTGCTCAGTTAGCCGTCGTCGTCGATGCCTGTCGCCCCTACCCGATTCTTGTGCTCGGGGACTTCAACGCCTGGTCAGAGACCTGAGGTTCCCGGGTCTCTGACCGGGCGGCGGCTGGGTCTCGAGGTGGGCCTGCACAAATCCTTGGCCTTGATCTTCCATGGGCTTTGGAGGAAGCCAGATGAGGGATCCAGCCTCATAGTAGGAGGGATTTCGGACATCATTTCCGAGGTCTGGTCCCCAAGTTGGTTAGGGCAGCTTGTGCATTGGCGCGGCTGCTGTCCAACATGAAGGGACCCGATGACTCCTGCGGAAGACTCTACTCGGGTGTTGTGCTGTCCATGGCCCTTTATGGGGCCCCAGTATGGCTGGGCGCCCTGAGGGCCAGAAGAGGGTGGACACGGACCTCCACACGTTGGCAGAATGCCCGGCGTGGGTGGAGCAGAGTATGATTGCCGCCATGGAACGGAGTGAGAGTGCGTGGAACTCCACGGTCGCCTTCTGCGAGTAAGTTATGCTTGCGAGCCTTTTGGGAACACAAAGGGAACACGGGGGTTCCCACACAGGAGGGGGTCATCTACACGACGTGGATGGTCCGAGGTACATCGGGACACCAGGGATTTCCTTTCTAGGGTACACCTAGTTCCCCGGCTACTGGTACCCGGGAGGGCGTGCGGTTTTTGGTCAGTTCGAGTCCGACATAATCATCCGACTGATGGGTGGTATCCGAGGGGATTTCCACACAAGACAAAAAAAGGTTGAGATTGAGAGTTGATCGGAACTAAATTGTGATCCAAAGTTTATTACGAAAATTGGCCTACTGGCAGATCTCTTTATACTGTGAAAAAAACTCGGATCTTAAAATGATTATCGGAAATAATAAACAAAAATAATATAATAGAATACCAATAAAATAACTTGTTTAATTTACATACTTATCTTAGATCTATTTTTATAATTACTTGTAGCGTTTATTTTTTAGTTTATACGTATAAGAGGATCGCTTTCTATAAAATGGTGCCAGTATCTTAAGAGACAGTGTTATTAATTTCAAAATTCATTTTTGAGTTTGATGTGTTTAAAAATATTGTCAAATTTAAAATAATTAGTAAAGATGTAATTTTAAAACTTACAAAAAATATCTAAAATGGTTTCGTAATTCTTCTACATCATGGTTAAAGTTTTACTTATTTTTAATGTTCATTTTAATTTTCAAAGAAAATAATTGAATTATTGGGTTTATTTTACATATTACATCAGTATAAACAAAAGCCTTAGGTACTTTGTGCTACAAGTTATTGGAACAGAGGTTAGCACTTTCACATCCAATCAACCTTGTTTTTGTTTCTTTGTCTAGCGAAGAAAATAAAATTAGATTACGTTTTGTTTTACACCAAATCAACAGAGTAGTCATAAATCAATACTGTAGTGAAACGGGGGTAAATCCCCTCTTATGGCAGTTTGTTTAATTTTATTAAAATATTAGATAGTTCATCTTCAACATAACCATTTGGTAATATCCTCAATTAAGGAATCACTGTGTAAAGCGATTTAACAAAAATCTATTTTTGTGTCCAAAAAGGGAGTAAACTTATCTTCGAATTCTTTCCAACTGCACACTCCTTCATTGCAAATTGATTTTAAAGGCTCTTCGTTATAGTAAAAGACAACATTAAAATTTTCGTCTGTTGTGTTTCCACACCTGTAAAGACACAACAATAAAAGCTTATTATCGTATCAAAGCCATGTTTCAGCACAAACGGGCCGTCTCGACCGTAGTGACACCACGGCCTCACAGAAAACCGGGACTAAGCAAGGCTTTGTTTTTCAGCGAGTTAGTGAAGTAACTGAAGCTCAAACTCTCTCTGATTCTAGGGGGTGAGAAAGGGTGGCAACGCACTTGTGACTCTTGAGTTGCAGGTTTCCATGGACAGCGGTAGTAACTTCTCATCAGGTGACCCGTTTTCTCGTTTGACCCCGTTACCATAAAAAAAGTATGAAAACAAACCATTGCTAATAAACACTAGGTTCGAACAGAAAAATTCATTACAAAATGTACACACACATACACAAAATACAATTTGTTTAGTCAATATGTTTAACATAGCTTCTAACTTAGGTGATATAAAATAACATTAACAAATAAAATAGATTTTTATTATAATTTGGTTACTTTTTAAAACCTATGAAACTATACAGAACTTAATTATTTAGGTTTAAAACGATTTCTATGTTTTTTATCATTTATTTATGTGTAAGTATATAAAAAAATGTTATAATATGAAGCAACGAAACCAGTTAACGCACTACTATTAAAAAGGCACATACCTGTTTAAAACTGCTAGAATATTACTGGAAAAAGTTGAAATAGTGCTCGTTTTCCATTTTCGATCACGTTTCCTCTCTTTTCCAGTTATTGGAGCGGCGTCCTTAAAAAGACCAAGTGCTGTGACCATCATGTCCATAACTGTAGAATCGGTGACGTAGGACGTGATTTTCGTTCCGTTACTTTTGGCGTTTTGAAATTTAACTAATATATCTGAAAGCGCGATTGCACCAAACGCTTTACTCATTTCGTATATTCCATAGCCGTTTCTATAGTAATGTTTTAAATCTTCTATGTACTCTATAACTTCTAAGTCCTCAGCAGATAACAATGCACACCATGGGCTAAATTTATTCAAAATACCCGAAGAATTACTTCGACAAAAATTCCATATAGCCATAACGTTCTCGTCTGTTAGAGAGTAATCGATTCCAAGTCGTCTTTGAATCCTGTTTTTTGTCTGAAATATGGATACATGTATGTATATATACCTATATATATTGACAAACTGAATTTGATGACAAGGACGATATTATAAATTTACAATATTTATTATGACAAGATTATAAAATTTACCTCGAGATATTCAGAAGTCTGTTGATACTTCCGTACTTCCATAAACGTAGCATTATTTAATATTACGCCATTTATATATTTATTGCAAAATTTAAACGGCTAAAATGAAAGACAATTATTAGTGAGCAATGGGTATAGAAAGTATGAAATTATTAAAAAAAAACACGTTTTTTTTTCGTTTGTTTCCTATTTGCACAAAGGTGTTTCGAATCATTCAGAGTTAAGTACGTCTGAAGTTTCGTAACCATTATTCAATTAAATTAGTACTTACAGCTAAAATGTCGAAGCCATCTTTTGGAGGTTCAATATACAAATGTTTGTTGCCAAGGCCTTTGACATATGCTTCCAGGCTAGCTTGAATCCTCGTCTGCTTTAAAGATTGTAATGTATAATCCCCTCTGCTAAGTTCATCTAATAGTTTTGTAAATGTTTGCTTTATTCTTTGACCTATTCTTACCATTTCTTCATAACCTTCATCAGATAATTGGTTAACTTTTTCGAATATTTCATCTTCAATAACCCAATCACGAAAGTTGTCGATATCTTGAGCACACAGTGTACTGTTACCTCTTTCATAACTTGATACTATATAATCTTTAATAAAAAGTGTCTCTTTCATTTCCCTTAAAAAATTGATACTAGGGTTTCTTTTGCCATGACGCATAAGTACCCATATACTGATTGGTTCACAATCTGTCAAAAATACTATGTTTTAATACTCATAAATACATACAGTGCGGGGATATATCCACTATATACTGAAATCAGGGAATGACTCTGCTTAAGATTCATTTCCTGACTTCAGTTTATAATGGATATATTATCTCATGAGGGAACATAAAGTAGGAACAATAACACTTTTAAATTATTTATTTTTACACGAATAGTATGTATAAGAATATTAATTATTTAACATTTTAAATAAGCAATTAAAAAATGAATCAGATCAAATCATATTAAGGAGAATAAAAATTCAAGACTTACCTGGAAATTTTATAACGGAATCTCTAATATCACCTCTTATCATACTGTAAAGAGTTTTGCTGCCAAAAAATTTGTATGAACATCCCATATTCCAGAAACATGACGTGGATGATACGAAATTTAAAACACAAAGAAACAAAATTGCGAATAGCAGCTTCATTTTAAATTGTATTTCAATTATTTTGACTACTAACAAAACGTCAATCAACAGTGAGTTGTTACGACTAGATAACACTTAAATCAACTGTCGATATGCATTTTACTAACGTGTGTTCATTATTATTTTTAAAGAAACCTCGATCACAATAACTTCGACATCACAAACTTGGCAATTGTCTATATTACAAAGACAGAGAATATGGCCTCTAAATTATTTTAATGACACCTGATTATCATACCTTGATATATAGTAACGTATGTCATCATCATTTACTGTCGAAGATGGCTGTAGCCTTTTATTTCGTGCCATTATATTTTATCCGATGTCAGCTCTAGAGACATACTATGTCTCTACAGATCATTTAGGGCACTTCAGCATAAACGCCCATATTTCATTGCTTTTTCAAACTCTCTGAGGTCTTCATCGAACATTACAAAAAACATAAAAATGAAAGAGATAAGAGATAAGATATTGATTTCTTTAAATAGACTTTTTGACCGTCTTCTTACTTACCTTTTAAGGTGTCGAAGACGAATGCACGAAAGTAACTAACTTTGTGTCCGTTTCATGTATGTTTGTAAAGTTCCCCGCGACACAGGATATATTCCTAATGCGGGAGATGTCTTTGTAAAAGAAAAAAAAGAATATTACAGTCCCGAAAGTAACCTATGTTGCAATTTTTTGTTGAGTTCAAGCGACTTTATCGTACCGCACCTCATTAAAACGATAATAAAAACAAATTATTCTATTAACGCTTGTATACCCTTGTTAAATTCTCTTGTTGACTTACTATACTGCAACAAATCAGTAAAGAAATTGTAGGTAATTTAAAAAAAAAAAAAAAAAAAACATTATATTTCAGGATCTTGGCAAGAACTGCTCAAGACATTGTTCAATAAGTAGATTTATTTTCAAATAAACTTTATTTCATTTTTTTTTATTGTTTGAAATTTTCTTTTAGGTAGACTCTAAAGCCATAGATCAACACACACAATAGCAACAATCACTGTATTGTAAAATAGTAAGCAAAATAAATTTAATAACTTATACAAAATCTATGATATGCCTGTGCCGATCTACAACCGCCCGTTTCCAAGGGGTTGAGCCTTATGAGAAGAAAGGGCAAACACACTCATGGCCACTCTTTTGCAGTTTAGAGTAAATACAATGTCATCATTAAATATGCCACAACATTGTTTTGACGTGTGCCAGTATGTCCGTTAGTAACTACTTAAAGGTAAGAAGACAATGAAGAGAAAACAATTTTAGGAAAAAAATCAAATTAAAGGGAAAATGAAGTGAAACATAAAAAAATAGAAAACAATAATAATAAAAAAACACACAAGCCCACACCACATTTTTACTTAAGAAATAGCCTATGCTAATTGATCCCAAGCATTTTTGTCTTCTATGTATTCCACAATTGAGTAATAGGCTCTCCGTCAGAATTTACTTTTTTTTGTTAATTTTAATTTGTTAATAATTAAGTCTTGAATATTATTTGGGCTTTTATTATAAAATCGGACTCATTGACCTCGAAAGGACTTGTTTATCGCGCGGGTACTACAAGTTTATTTCTATTACTAGTATTTAAAAAATGTACATCCCTTCTTTTCAAAGTACATGTACATTGTACATTTCTACCACAGAGCCTGGAGACCGCTCACCATTAATATCAACTTTCTGAATCCTAATATATACATATGAAGCAAGAAGTTCCAGTGCTTTATTTTTGATACCATGGTGCTGTAATTTCCTGATCAGCGTTTCCTGAACAAGACAATTGAAAGCTTTAGAAAAGATACCATGAGAATCGTGGCCATCCTCCCAGGCATCAAATATATGATTTACTAGCTCAACACTGGTGTCAGTTGTGGAGCGACCCCTTGATTGATCGTACTCGTACATCATTTTTTTCATAAACTATGCTAAATACTGGTAGCACTGAGATAGGTCTAAAGTTAGTGCTACCAGATTTCAATAATAGAAATAAAATGTTACTAGACTTCATAAGATCAGGAAATACACCACTATCAACACATTGATTAAATGTAAATGACGATTGATTCGCCACAAGAGATATAATTGTTTTAGTAATTAATACAGAATTTCGCCATTGTTCTCCGGTTGCTTTTCTAACATTAATTATGTTAAAGGCTTTAATAATTTCAAAGGGGGAAACATATTGGAACTTAAATTCACTATCAATCCTACTAACATTCTCTTTTGAAATTGAGTCTGCAAGGCATGGTGAGGAGTTCAAAGATTTTGTAGTTGATACAGGCATGTTAGTAAAAAAAACGTAAAAACAGCAACAAGCTCAGCATTTGATGTGATACATTTATTGTTTATATTAAAATTAAATTCATTATCACGGTATTGATTTTGGACAGTTTCACTGTTAATAATTTTCCAAGTGGTTTTAATCTTATCATTGCTACTATTAATTTTTGAACTTATAAAACGAGACTTAGCTAATTCACAAAGTCCTAAGCAGCTTCGAATATTCTTTAACATAATTATGAAACTGTTCACTTTTATTATAATTCCTCTCATCGTATGGCTCGTATAATCTTTTCCTACTTTTGAGTAAGAAGGGGGTAGCCCATATACTAAATGTTGCGTTACCACTAGCGTTTTTGCTGTAAAAATGGTGTTAAATGGTGAAAAAATTTCAAAAAAAATGTTATAGTAAGTGTTAGGCTTATTCTCTACGCAGAGTACTAAAATATTAAAAGCAGCTTTAAGTTTATCTTTAAAGTTATCACAACGCTTTGTTGTTTTAGGTATCAACACAATTCTTTTTTCTGCCACCTTTTCATACCTATCACAGAAAGATACTGATTGACCACAGTGGTAAGAGTGTAATTGATTGATTATTTTCTTTTCCTTAATTACCATGTCTGTAAATATATTGTCCATACATGTGGCAGTGGTTGCAGTGATTCGTGTAGGCTCCAAGAACAAGTTCTTCAGATTGTATGATTGAAAGAGTGCATTGAACTTAGTTTCTATACTTGAATTTTCCAATAGGTTAATATTGAAGTCACTACAGATGATGACCTTCTTTTTTGATCTAGTTACTTTAACTACTGCTACATCCAAAACACATTCAACATACACAACAATCATACATAGCTGAAAGAGGTCTGTAGACATATACTACTATGAAACCTTTTAGTTCTATACAGGCTATATCTGTAGTTCGCTCAACTGATAAACTAACAATGTCATGGCGCTCTTTAAACTTAAGTTGCTTATTAATGAGTATCATAGTGATACCATGTATTGCCGTACTTCTGCTGAACGACCTACCTACCTGGTGGTGATCAAAATTTAACATGAACTGATCCCGTTTTAGCCAATGCAGTGTTCAGTAATACAAAAAAGTTCCAAACAGTTCCACCTTTAAGTCTCTGCCATCATTCCTCTAATGTTTTGATGCACCAAATTGATTTTATTTATCTTATTATTTTAATAAATTAACTATGATTGAACTTTCTATTAGTGTTCGAATTAATGAGCAAGAGGTAGTCTCTATTGTCTTATCAGTAAATTTAAATTATTTGAAATTTCAATCTCATTATTATGTAACTTCTCTCTGCAGAGGGAAGGAAAACTTGACACAAACCCTATACCAACCAGTTTGGCCAGCGTGGTATAGTAGGCCAAAACCTACTTTCTAAGGAGAGGCTTATGTCCAGCAGTTGACTATTAAAGGCTGATGATGATGATTATGTAACTTATTAGATATGTCATTTAAATTTTTATAAATATCCAAATAAAGCCAAAGGATTGGCAAAGTCACGATTTGCTCAATAGAAGCAATAGTTTTAGCCAAGTTCTTGGCTGTAATGGTAAAATAATATGATAGCGAAATTGCTACCTGTCTCTTATAATAATTAGAAAGGTAATGTCTGCCTTTTGTCAATACAATATTATCACTAACAAGCTTGATAATGTCGATTGGATGTAATTTATTACAATAGGGTCCATTTATCTGGAAAGTTAGATTGTGCAACATTATGCCTAACATTTTTTTTTCCTCCTGCGACAACCCTTTACTAAGAGGAAGAAACAATACAATTTTATTCACATCTAACTTTAACGATGATTAATAATACCCTAAAAATTTATTTTTGTTTACATTTCCCCAGTTACCAACAAACATGACTAAAGAAGTTTTGTGTTTGTAACCCCCGTAGGTCATCACTTTACCAGAGCTAGGGAAGTTTTTTTTTTTTTTAGGGAATTTACCTAGAACCTCTACACACTTAAGCAACCTGACAAACAAGTGAGCACACCGTGGAGTACGGGGACCCTAACACTCTCCAGATGGAGTGGCGCGCGCGAAGCACATCGCGCAACCGTCTCAGCCTTGCTCCTGCAAGGGTAACGGTCAGCCCGAACTATTAGTACTAACTTATAAGTAGTGCTGCTTGTCTATGTGGTGACGGATTAAGAATGCAGCGTGTAACCATGCCCTATTCATGCCGTGGGCGTCGTAAGAGCCGACAAAGGGAGCAAAGTCTGCAGGACAACAGCACTGCAAAGAGAAGGAAAATTTAAAACAAACCCTGTACCAACCTGTCTGACCAGCCTGGTATATTTAGCCAAATCTCCTTTGTAAGGAGAGGCCTATGTCCAGTAGTGGACTATTAAAGGTTGTTGATGAAGTACAGTGCATGTCTACTAGAAAAATCTTTGTAGTCAAATCAGACATAGGGGTATATCTGTCTTATTTGACTACTAGTTTCTACTTTTATATTAAGGACTGTTGCATAATCCTAATATTTTAAAGAAAACTAGCAATATTGCCACAAATATTTTATTTTTCTCAACTAAGTATATAATTTTCATTATGCTGTTAATAGGACAGTAATTGTGCTAGAAACTTAATAAATTATTTAAAACGGGTTATGTAGTAAATATAGCCCATTTAAATAATACATTTTACGTGTATTTGATTTTGCTTCAGTTGTAACAGTTTCGTTTCAGTTGACCTTCTAAAATGGACTATCTTCACGACTTTTGTTTTTGTTATTTTTATAATCACTGTCCTATTAACCAAAATTTTTGCACAAATTACACATAGTATTTTAATAGTTACATCTATTAAATCATTTACGTATTTACAGTAATATACAGATAAAATATGTTGGATAAAAACTTACTATTCAATAAAATATCTAATATTAAATTGGCGTTTCTTTTTTTTATAGTTACGTATTACAAAATAAATGGTGATGACTAACTTATTTTGGACCGGTTTAACTATCTATCGAAACTAAAAACCTTGAGGGTTGAATTTGACCACAACTCATCAAGTTTTTAATGTTTTTTTTATCATTATAATCCAACATGTACATTAGCTTTTGTAGCTATTTCTACATAACACATAATTAATAGTTTTTTTTATTTCTAAATTCTTCTACAAATGAACTTTAAGTGTAATACGAGTAAATATATCGTTTCTCGTGCGCGAATTTGCTTAAAAAAAGGTACAACGAATTCTCTTCACTCGGCCAATAATATAAGTATCATTTTACTGTTCGCAGAAACAGAAAAACGTTGGCTAACTTTAAAATATGCTTGAGTATCGATGTAGAAAAAGTTAGTTCTTGCAAGTATTTACGTTTTGAGTTAGTTGTGACGACGTGTGGTTAAGTTCGTTGGAACAGGGCCTTTACTGCTTCCTCTAAGAGCTCTGTCAACCTCTTTCTATCAAGCAGTGACAGTGACAGTTACTTAAGAGTGGAATATAATTATATAAGTACCTTTTCTATTGACAATTTTTATTAAAAACCTTTATTTCACAGTAATTTTATATTATTGAAATGGCCAAACATGGATTGACATATCATCAAAAGTTAACGTTGATACGATACGGTCAGTTGACTATGACTGACTGACTAGGTCATGAAATAGTCGAACCCATAACGAAGATATGCCTACGACATGACAATGTGCATACATATTATAATACATGGCCATTTTCTTAAGTGAATTTCTAAAAAATAAAAAAAATATTAAAGCTTCACATCTTTTAAGGAATTAGAACACTAGTAACTTTTAATCTAAATATTTTTTCGTTCCAATGAAGTAAAACTTAAAAATGTTCAAGTAACTAAAATACTTCAAGGCAAAACTTGTTTACACTGTGACTAGTCAGTCATCACCTAAAAAATAACTTGATTTGAATAACTTTCTGTAGAAAATAGACAAGAAACTAGACTAGAAACATATTTATTATCTATCTAAATATATTAATTTGTCAACGGCTGATTGTATACGAGTATTTCTTAATTTTCATAAAATTATTCTGATAAATAACATTGATGTGAATGTATAAAAACAGTTTCTCACTTTGATTATGCCAAATTATATTTAAACACGTGTAGGGACAAAACCAAACTGAACAGACAGACGGTCGTACAAGAAAAAAATTTTTGGCGTTAGCCACAAACATATAAAATCGTCGCTTAATCATCATTTATCTACATCACGCCTAACGAGACCCCTTACAAAATACTAATTCTACTTAAAATCAATAATATCATTTAGTTAGAATCATTACAAATGTATATAAGTATCTACATTTAAGAGAGAGAAATGCATAAGACTTTAAATATCACTAGATGACTCACATCCAATAGATTTAATCCATTTTTTTATTTCAAAAAAATGTGAAAGTGTGTTGGTCCAAAGTTGGAGTAATTATACTGCAGATCAAAACTTAAAACCAGGCCAAAAAAATAAAACCTTAAATCAAATTGCACAAACATATTGCGAGCAATGATGGAATGTACGTTTTATGAAGAGTGATAATTTATAAAAAAACAGTCCGTAACCAAAATAAAGTACTGATAAAATGTTACTTATTTAAAGTACCTACGTAACATTAAATTTAAGTTTTCTAACATTAATTTTATTCAAATTATAATGTACTCGAAACTTTTAGATTTTAATCAAGTATTATACATATATTTATTAACTTCAAAGCACTTGTTGAGGTTTATTATTAGCTATGTGATGGCACGAACCAAAGCCATGGTACGACATAAGGTTGAAGGTGATCTCGTCACAAGGTTAGTGTAACCTAGCTTAAGCAATTATATTTAAATATGGTTATAATGCGCTCCTTATTTCGTCAATAATTTTGAAATATTTCTTCTTGTTATTTGATTTAATAGTATTTAGGTTTTTAATACCTAATAGTTAATAAAACCAGAAAATAACAGAATTAAAAAGAACTGTTTCTCTTTTTGGAATACACCTCAAAGACATGAATGTGCTTACAATAACTACCCACTTGATCGTGGACATCGTATGCACCATATACATTATCATAAAAAATATGAAGCTGAAAAGCTTAGAAATCCCAGTGTCGGCTTTGAGGTTACTAGAGGTCAGAGTAGTTACGTTATTAACCAGTTGAGAGACGATGTAAATTAAAAGCGGGTAAAGTTTATCCTTCCTGAAACGACGGACAATGGTTCACGTACTACTAACAAAAGGTTTAATGACGGAGTCTACCTTGTGCTCTATACGGATTTCGGTTTAATTAAAAAAAATACGAATACATAAAGTATTACAGAGAATGTAAAGAAGAGAAGAGAATGTAAGCGAAGAAAGTAGTTTTAGGGCTAATATAAAAGTCTATTCAGAAAATATTGCTTTTCAGTATTATTCCTTAGGCTTATTACGTAAGAAATAGTTAATGAAATAGGTTTATCAATACAAGTATAGGATACATATATATGTGTAGATAAATATTTTTAATACTATAGAGAGAAAAATCTAAACTAAGGACTACAAGAGTGCAACTCTAGGAAGAAGTGATATAAATTCTTATTTTATTACCTAGGTAGAATTACTTGGCAGTTTTCTTATTCTTACCTCCGAACAAATTCCCACCATCAACATTTTGAATGTCAGCCATACTATAATCGTTTAGAAAAGTAAAATAGATATTTAGTATAGTAAGATATTTGTGATAGTCAACATCATAGACTTTGTTTAGATAAAATTACTACAACAACCGATTTGTACCAGCATTTTGAACCGTTCATCAATATTTGCTATTTAATACGAAACCTTTTAAGAGACGGATTTACTATCCAAACAATCATTAATCAAAGTTCGGTCACGCAATTTGTTATAAATAGACGATGATGCTGTAAAACCGCCGTATATTATAAAATGAATAGCGAAGCATTATGAAAATTAGGACAAGTAAAAAATTTTAAAATTAAATAATCTTACCCTCCTTTTTTATTTAAAAAACGTTTTTTACCACAAAAAATGCTAATCAGTACCTCAATAATTCTATTTGTAGTTCTACTTAGTTATTACTCATTTATTGTTTATCATACAATATTGCTTTCTAGGGGACCCCTCCATATATAATTTACTTTTATTACACAGACGACATTCTATGATCACTTTGTATATACACGCAAATATAATACATATTATTCTATGATTCAAAGTTCAATAAAGAATATTTTTTTCCGCTGCTTGATTTCCTTTTAATAGTTAGGAACATTATTCTTTGGGACATTTTTATTAACAGCTTTAATAACATATTCAATTACTTAGTGCCTTATTATTCCCTCCAACATGTTTTCAAACTGACCTATTTTTACTAAGAACAACGTTCGTAGAGTGGAATTATCTATCACCATCTAGGCTAGAGATTAAAGCACTTCAAATAATGGTCATAGCTAGGTAATATACTTTCACAAATATTGTATAACGTTTACGATTATCTATCTATGTCAATTCTACGGTTTTACTATTAATTAATAATATCTCTAATAAAAAGTTTATACTATATTATGGACGTTAACAGCTCCGAACTTAATTCACTTAAAGTGTACCATTATTTAAATTGTTTGACGCAGATCCAATATTGATGAAGCAATTAAATATAAAGTAAGGCAGCCTTTCAAATGTAATAATAATATCAAGACACTGAAATGAACACCGATTGACTAACGCCTGTGAGACGTGTCCGCATCAAACAACGTAAAAAAGGCACTAACTCAACCACTACGGGTGTATTCTGGTTGATACTTCTTATTGCTCCCTCGCTGAGCAGCGATGAGAGATGAAAAGTGATTCTGCATAGACCTATTGGTTTCCAAATGCGTATTAGAGCCATTCGTTCATCCCGGATCTTGTTTGGGATCTAAATTGGCCCTTCTTTCTTGAAGTGCTGCCAACAATGCCTCTCTTACTTCACGCTCTGAACTACGCCACAATCTAATTAGTTCATCTTCTGATAATAAAGACAATTCAGATCTCGCTCCTACTGTCGGGACTCGAGGATATGGAGGAGCTGGAGGAACGTCTTGTTCAACGTTAGAAACTAAAATTTCCACACTGGCTCGTGATGTTGGGAAATCTGAACTTAGGTAATTATCAGATCTCTCAGAAACATCTTGATAAGATCGCGTGGATGAGCCTTCTACTCTTCGAACCATAGGTGACGGTGTTCGAAGGCGAGTATTGATGTCGGGTGGTGAGCTCGTTAAGCAACTTACATCTCGGCTTAACCTCCTTCCTATATTCATACTTGTGCGTTCATAGATATTAGATACCGAATCTGAGCCAAGCACTGAGTCAGTGCTAAATCGTCTTACGTTGAGTCCGGCCAGACTGCACCTTTTTCTTCTTCCCCTTGGTGATCGAAGCTGTCGAGGTGACCGACCCTGTCTCGGGGAGCGGTTGGAAACATCAGGGGAGGGTGATAAAAATTTAGATTCAGTAGGCTCCTGTAAGACCTCAGTTGTCTCTGCTGGTTCTTGTTCTTTGATTGAACCCAAGGAGTGGTCTCGTTGTTGTACCCTAAGAGAAATAGATTTTAAGTGTTAAAGTGTTATACAAATATGTACAAAAATGTATTTAAATATATTGTGGCAGAAATCTTACTGGCTTTTTAAAGAAATAGTGAACTTTTTGATTTTTGCAGTTTTAAGTTAACATATAGTATGATATCATATCGTATCTAAAATTCAATAAAATCTTAAATTTGACTCACCTTCTTATCGCTTGAATCATTTCGTATAGTTGTGCTTTGCTTTTACGGCGTCGCCGCTGTTCGTGTTCCTTCTGAAACAAACGTACATTCCTATCGTAATCTGATAAAATAACGTTTTCGTTATAACAACAAATATAACATTATTTTTGGTACAAAATAGACCTTAGCTTTCAATTTTTTTTTCAAACTAAATGGACAAAAGTATCAAAACCGATATTACCCTTTTGACACTCTTCTGAAATAATGAAGTAAAATGTCCTTGCCGTATTGTATTGACAAGTTCCCTTGCTGCATGATGCGGAGAAACAAGTTCCACACAGTTTATGAATCTGTAAAGTTTCTGTAACAAAATAAATAAAAATACACTAAACGAGTTCAGAAAAATAAAAATACATTATCTGTTAGATTGATGACTGCCTCAAACAAAACACAAGTAGTAGTAGAGTAGCTCCTTCATTGTTGTAAATTGAGCGTCGGTTCAGCGAAGCGGTCTACATAATTCCAGTTAAAGCCGTCTTGGCTTTACGGTCGACAATGACAAACAAAGTAGTACCCCAAACTAAGGCATGACACCGCAAACTTACAATCTTGTGATAGCTTTTGACTTATACGCCTGGCATCATAATTATTACGTATTACAATTTAGCTTAGTGGATTATTTTAAGTCAAAAACATTAACCACGTTATAATGTAGGCGGCCTTTTTACTAACTATAACCATTAAGAATACATATAAAGCATAATAGGGTTGTTTGTACTCGGGTTACGGTTGTGTGTTAATAGGTATATCTCGAAATAAATGAGGCTCAATGAATAAACTAACGAGTGTTTTTATCGATTAAGTTTCTTTAGACTCACTAAAGTTTGCATGGTGGCGACTACGTTAGGTTTTTATTTTAATCTGTATTTTACTTCAACTTATTTATGCAAAAGTCTTACTGAGTGATCGAGTTAACTCATTCATGGTACATTTAATATCAAACAGGTCTCGCTTAAGAAAATATACAATGGTAACGAACGTAGCTTTTAATAGTTAGGTGTATATAATAAGGATTTCCTTTCTATGGTACATCTAGTTCTCCGGCTACTGCTCCCCGTGACAGGGTGCAGTTTTTAGTCGGTTCGAGTCCGAGATAACCATCACGGTGGTATCCGAGGGGATGTCTACACCAAAAAAAAGGTGTAAATAATAAGGTCGTTCGGATTAAATACATAATAATCATCAAATGGATTGAACTGCAAAACAATTTCATTACTTTAAAATTTAAGTAAAAGTTTTTTCTGACATAATAATCTCTCTACTTTTGCTCAAAGGTGTTTTTGTATAAAATCTGGTAAGATATAAGGTGTATTTGTTTCTGTTTTATTTTTTTATTTTTTTTTTTTTTTTTTAATTTAAAGGGCTTTGTCGCTGTGCGACCACATCGCCCTGTGACAGTACGAATTTATTAGTTAACATCTAACATAGACACATCTCTACCAATTTATATAATTTCCGGGCTTCAACCGACACAGGGTTAGCCAGAACACTATTACAAAGGCCGATATTCATACCTCTCGAGACCCCTAAATGTTCCCTGTAAGTTATGTTCCTTACACATTCAAAAATAATGTGTAATATATCATCGGTTACACAGCAGTCCTCACAGTTGGGAGATGAGACTTTTCCCATTAAAAATGCGAATTTCTTAGAAGCTATATGACCTGTTCTCAACCTTAAGGCAGTTACCAAAGCTTTTCTATTAAGTTCCACGTTTTCGATCCATGGGTATTTAGACACTTGCGGCTGTATTGTACGGTACCAAATACCCTTCTCTCTCGATCTCTCATCAAAATATTCCTGCCAACACATATGACATTTCTCTTTTACGACTCTGGTGTAGTCAGTATGTAAAGGCAATACTTCTAATGCAATGCCATTCCAACATGCCTCTTTTGCTAATTGGTCCACAATATCACTCTCCCCAATACCAACATGTGAGGGAATCCATTGCAGAACAATTTTCCTACTTAGTGATTGAAAATTTAGGATTGACTCCAATATTTGATAGGCTATCGGATTACCTCGCATGTGCGAGGTACATCGAGCCAAATGTTGCAAGGAGCTTTTAGAATCAGTCAGAATCACGAATTTATCATACTTAATAGATTGAACGTATGATAAGGCTTCTGCTATAGCGATTAACTCAATGTGCATTATAGAAATATTGGAATCAATCCTAATTTTGATGCCGCAGTCGTTGAATGGGTCATAAAATGCAGCACCACCAACTCGTCCGTCCTTGGATCCATCTGTATAAATCTTATGATATCTGTCGTATCGTTGATCTACAAAATTGACACAAGTGTTTCGCAGGTCACAAGGTTTATACAAATGTTTACCTTTATTGACTGATGGGATGGAATCACAAACCACCCGCGATAAATCTATACTGCTGACCCATGTTTGCAATGAATACATCTCTAACTGGTTACACGAATGTAGCACCATCGAATCTAAGGATTGGAAAATAGATGTGAGTAAGGGACGTCGTTTGTTGGTCCAATAAGAAGAATGTGTACTCTCCGATAGTTCCTGCACACCGGTAATTGTCTTATTATTATTAAACGTTTTAGCTTTTAACCCGAATTTACAAGCCAAGTATTGCCGACGGTATTGAAGTGGTGGTAAGTGTAATTCACTCTCCATTGTGTGTATTGGAGTACTCCGGATAAAGCCTCCTATAACCCGCAACGCTTGGTTCTGGACTTTGTCGAGTTTATATAAGTACGTTTTACAACTATTGTCATATAAGAAACTACCATAGTCTAATCTACTTCGGATGAGAGATATATATAAACGTCTTACATGTTTTTGATGAAGACCCCATCCCCGTCCGACTAGTACCTTTAATATATTTACTAACTTGGATACCTTTAAGACAGTCTCATTAATATGTTTTCTCCATCTTAATGAACCATCCAACCACATACCAAGATATTTCACCTGGTTGACAGTACCAAGAGAGACGTTATCAATTTGGAATTCAATAGTATCTCTGGAATAACCTTTCCTAAATATGCAGATTTTACTTTTAGTCGGTGAGATCACAAGCCCTAAGTTTGATAGCAATGAACTCAGGTCGAGGCAGGCATTTTGTAATTGTACAGCTGCATTACCTATCTTTTTATCTGATTTGTATAAAACAAAATCATCCGCGTATTGCAAGATTTCAACATTTTGTATCTTTTTACATATGTTTGAGGTTGCTATGTTGAATAGTAGCGGGGAAAGCGGATCTCCCTGAGCTAAACCACGACCAGTCGTTCTAGATATATCGACACCATCAACGTCAACGTGCAATCGTCTATTTTTTAAATACGCCCAAAGGTACAAGCAAATCCGAGAGCCAACCCCATAGCTATCCAATACTTTGATTAAACATGCCAAGTCTACATTATTGTATGCGTTGTCTATGTCGACGAAGCATGCAGCAGTTATTAAATTTTTTGAAAAACCAGTTTGAATGTAGGAAACCAACCGTGTCAGATTATCTAAACAGGATCTAGATTTACGAAAACCTACCATATTATCTGGGAACATATGACATTTTTCAAAGTACCATTCCAATCTTTTATTTAAAATGCTGTGTAGAATTTTACAAAAACAAGAAATTAGTGATATTGGGCGTAATGCACTATCTGAATACATATCCCGACCAGGCTTCGGAATAGGTATAATTTGTACGTTACGCCACTGAAGCGGTACAAAGCTATGATTGAGAAATTGATTATATAGGGTTAATAAAAAGGATTTACCTATAGGTGGAAGGTTTGCTATCATAGAAAAGGACACGTCATCACTACCCGGTGCAGTGTCGGTACGTTTTATAGAATTTTTTATTTCTTGAAGAGTAATAGGGGACTCCAAATGACTATTTTTCGATTGAATATTAGGTTGAGGTGGACATACAAAATCTGGGGTGATATCGTTTAAGAGCTTCTCTATTTTCTCTTTGTTTATGTGTTGTAATGTATGGTGTGTATGACCTTTAATCCATTTCATTTTCCGCCAAAGTATTCTTGAGGAAGATGTTTCATCCACGGATGAACAAAATTCCTGAAAAGATTGCCCTCTGGCTAGCCGAATAGCACGCTGTGCATCTCTTATTTTGTTTTGCAGTATAACTAAGTTACCAGGGGATGGACATCGTCGCAAGTTGGCAAGGGCCAGGCGGCGCTCGGCTACCGCTTTTGATAGCTCTGCGTTCCAATAGGGTTTAGGTGTAAATTTGCTGGTTATTTGTTGGGGTATTTTTTTAAAAGGAATGTATAAATTCGCTGCTTCTTGTACGATCTTTTCAAATAAATTGTAAAATTCTTGAAGTTGTGAAGGGACAGATATTGACGATAAATTGTTTTCTATATAAGACGAATATGCCTTCCAGTTACTATTTTTGAAATTTCTTTTTGTTTTAATTTTTTTAGGGATGTGTATGCTAGCATATAGCTTAATTATCAAATGGTCACTGCCGAGATTTTCATTTGTGGGTTGCCAAGTAAATAAGGTCGCCAAGTCTGCGGAAATGAAGGAGATATCTGGTGATGATTGCTGTAAAATACCATTTACTAATTTAGTACGCGTAGCGCAACCATTATTTAAATAAATAAAGTTATGATCTATCATACAATCGTATATCTGGTGACCCCTCTGATCAGAACGACATGACCAGTTGGGGTGATGTGCGTTAAAGTCACCAAGAAGTAGCGTTTTTCTATCAGAGAGAGAAAATAGAAAGTCCCAATCGTTTTGTGTTGTACGTACCGTGGATGGACAGTACACAGAAATTATGTTTTCTATGTGTGGGCAGTTAAAAACTTTTACATGTATTAGTTCTATGTCCGGATTAGTGCAATTAGTTAAACATGTGGTGCACTGAATAGTTTTGTGTGTTAATATAGCAACCCCTCCATATCCATCAAATCTATCAGATCTAAATATGTTGTAATTACTTATACGAAAAGCACTTCCTCGCTCCAGCCAAGTCTCACTCAGGACTGCAATGTGTACCTTTTCTTGAATTAAAAGAGTTTCGAGAGATAAGGATTTCGGCCTTAAACTTTGACAATTCCATTGCATTATTACAAAATTTGTATTGACACAAGTACTATCCATAATTAACAAGGCTATTAAAAAGTGAACTAACAGAAGTACAACTCAAAATTTTTGACAATATCCAGTCTGTGCAAATTGAAACTACTTGTTTAATTTTGTATTCTAAAGAAATCTTACTAAATATAATATTTTTTAACTGTACAAGAAGTGGTAAAAAACTTAAATTTTCAAATTTGTTATTGAAAGTCTTACTATGAGTCTCTTTTTCAACCCGAGGACAGTCGTCAGAACTTGTAAACCCCGACGCCTCTTTATTCCAGTTAGTCTCCCTGCAATCTGCGGCACTGGAAGATGGGGGAGGTGGTAAAGGTGTAGGCGCTCGTTGTCTCTTTTTCTTTCTGCGTGATTGCGTTGAATTAGGCTGATCCGCGATAGAAGTAAATAGTTGAGAAAATAGGCGTTCGCTTTCTGGCCTATCGTGTTGGTTATTCACGTGTGTACTTTCCGAGACTGTGATTCGTTGTGATTGTATTTTATCTTCTTCATACAGCTTGTTAGGTCCAGTTAGTTTAGGAATCGGGCTAGGCGGGACATATATTGACAACGCTTTCCTATAAGTACAATTAAACTCAGACATTAACTCCCTGATCCTCCTCTCTTTCTTAAATAAAGGACAGGATTTTTGCAACGCCATGTGATTTCCTGTACAGTTGACACATTTGTAGGATGTAGTGTCGCAATTCTCGTGGCCTTTTGTACATTTAGGACACACAACTTTTTTTGATGGACACATTCTCCACGCATGCCCGAATTTCCAGCAGCGTGAGCATTGTGTCACTGGAAATATATACGGTTCTACTTTCACTCTCATCTGCTCAATATAGACATACCCAGGCAGTGATGAGGTTCTAAAGCCAAGGCGAATGGTTTCGCTTTCAATCCAATTGTGATTAGTGGCACTTGTAGAACTCGGCTCAATATTATTCCGTTTGTTTAGTCTTTTAACCGATACAATATCATAATCACTCGATAAACATTTTAAGATATCTGCCTCTGAAAGATCTAACTCCACATTTTTAATAATTCCGTAAGAGATTCCAACCTCCGAAGTTTTTTGGCTTCTCCATCCTAACTCCGTAAACTCTTTGCACCCAATAAAATCGTCAGCATCAGTTGCGCATTCAAAAGTTATTAAAATTTTATTTTGGTGAACGTATTTGATGCGCTCAATTCCTTTTATATTATTTTTTGTAAACAATCGGGCGAGTGCGAATTGTTTAGGCAAAGCTGTATTGTGTGTAACAGACACTTGAAATTTATCTTGCACTTCCTGACTGTCCCTACGAACCACTTTATTCCTTCTATAAACTGTATTCCATTCCTCTGATGAGTTATCCTCTCTTGTCCTCTTGTTTAATCTGCTTTCTTCTACCTCCTCATTTGCTTGTATTCGGTCACTGCATTCCATTCTGTCCTCCGTTTCATTCACAAGGTTAGTACTGTTGACACGCGTCATTTGATATTCGACCCTATCCTCGATAGCATTAGAGCGATCACTCATCGCGCACGAGCGGCGCCCCGGCCCTATCGGTCGGGAGCACGCTTATCGCAGATTTTATTATTTTACTATGTACAGCAGCGTTAAATACACGACCTAATGACACGAGGTGGCACCGGCGAGTGTGTTTTATTTATTAAATAGAATTGGAATGTTTTCTAAAATATTATACACAACAGAAAAAAAAATAAAATGTAGCAATGTATATATACATATACATTTATATATATACATACATTTTATGAAATAAAACTCACCTGGCTAAAAAACATTATATTTCTGCTCCTCCAAATAGTTCCTTTAGGTTGATGACGAAGTACTGGCAGGGTATATTTATAAAACAAATGTTCTAAAATTAATATAAGACATCCAACGACTACGCCGACCAGAAGTAGGATGAACACTCCCGCCACCGCTGCTATACCTGTACAATACATAGCAAATTAATAAATCTTATTATGTTTTTAAGATGTATAGACGTGTGTACTTAATTTTCTATCTTAAAAAGGAAATTTATTTAGACGGAAATGCGCTGGTGACAATATCAATAGAATATTAAACTGAATTAGACATAAACATATATACATAACAAAAAAAAAAGTATAGATTGTATAATGTTTGATATTTCACAAGTATTGTCGTTGAATTTAGAAAACTCCGTTGGATCCCAAATACTTAAAAATGCAGGTCTGTACTTTCAACAACAAAATTGTTGGTAATGAAATGAGGATATATTTTTATATTGACTGAACACTTATAACATTCTGTTCTCTTTACACGCGTAACCATTGCATCAAATTAATATAGTTACTTTGTATAAAAATTAGTCAAATCATAAAGTACTATGAGTGGTCAAAGCCATTTACTTCTTCATCAATCGTTTTGAATTTGAATTTTATAGACAGAAAAGAGGGTACACTTATTTTATCAAATGCTCATCAATATACAAAGAAACGAGATACATATATAAAAAATGGAAGAGAATACTGAAATTTCAAGTTTCTACCATTTTTTTTCGATTTACATTTTCTTATGTTTGATAAGAGTGAATCACGTTGTTGCAACATGGAATTCAATGGAAATAGCAAATGGGGCCTCAAATAGGCATCGTTAACACCCAAAAAAAAAATGGGATCTAATACTGGGATCCAACGAAATAAAACCTCCAAAGCACTCAGGAATAACATACTTCTCTAACAGTAAAATAATTCTCAAAATCGGATCAGTGGTAAAGTTTGTGAGTTTGCATGTGCGGGGTAATCCCAAACTCACAAACCTTAACCTCTTCATAAAATATTAGTATAGTTTTAAAAGTTTTCGTTTTTATCTGTTCAATGCCATGGAGGCTGGAATTCTGTTAGCAGCTGAATACTTATTAACACTTTCATTGCATTAAAATTCTGGCTTACACGTAGGCTGTACAATACATCACAGTCCGCTTTATTCTATAGGCATTTTTTTGCAAACCAATTTATATACATTAAATATTTAAAATGTTACGAACTGAAGCTGTATGTTTCTAATCACAAAATCTTAAAAAGTTCTAGTACCTCAGATGATACACCTACCGATATTCTTTTTACCTAAAACCCGATATTCTTTTTTTTTTAATTTAATGTATATTTTTTTTATAAATAGTTTTATTGTAATATATAATGTAATTAAATAATGAAAGATTTGAGAATCCAGAGTAGGACTACCCTAAAATAATATCCCACAAACTACTACAATAGTTCTCATCTAAATACAGAAAACTAGTTAAATAACAAGCAGTTTTGAGTGTACTTTAGCTACGTAAAGTTAACCTCAAATTATAATTCAGAACAGAGATTGTATCAGTAAAAAGCTGCAGTCTACTAAATTAGTTGGTTTCATTTGAACATACAATTAGTTTGTAAAGGCTGAACATTTTTTATGAAAATGAATAAACATATGTAGGTATGTTATTATTGTTGTTGTCTTGTAGTTGAGAAATCAATTATAAAATAAATTTACATTTGCATTTACGATACTAGTTTGGACTGGCCTATTGGTGTATTCGATAGTATAGTCGAATAGTATTTATAAGTGTGTAAGTATTTTTGTTGCAGTCTGGATCAGACGGTTGTGTGTGAGATGTATGTCAAGTTATTGTAAGGATTCATTAAAAGTGATGGCTGATTGTTTTTTTTTTCTCTAAAGATCTCGGTCAGAAAAAAGAACAGAATATCAAGTTTTATTGATTTCACCCTCGTGAAAATATATTGCATTAGTAACATTCAATTTAGTACATTTGTAATTCGTGCAACGTCCAGTGAGATTGTCTCGTTTGATTGAGTATTTATGGCAAGGTGATGGGGTATTTGGGGATGGTGTTTTGATTATCTCGATATTATTTTCTTATATTATGGAACACATTCTTAAAATTCTAGTCTTATTCTTTATCGCATTATGGTTACATAGCACAAACTCTGCCTATTTTTTGGGATCAGACGGCTGTGTGTGAGATGTGTATCAAATTATTTGTAAGGATTTATTAACAGTGATTGGCGATAGTCGATGAGAAAAAAGAACATGAATATAAACTTTTATTGGTTCCACCCTCGTGAAGATGTATTACATTCGTTACTCAATCTATTACATTTGCAATTTGTATAACGTCGATTGAGATTGTCTAGTTTGATTGATCATTTAAGGCCAGATGATGGTGTATTGGTCAAACACAAGTAAATAGGTGTTTGAATTATCTCGATATTGTTTAGCTATATAAGAGATCATTTGTAAAATTATATTCTTATTGAAACCTTTAACACATGCAGGATTTGTAAATGAGTCATAGAAAAATTAAGCAAATCTTTTTCCATTTCAAAACATATTTTAATGGAATATAGAAGCAGAATATGTAAAAGCAAGTCACATTTTTTTCCATCCTAATTAAAATTCAATTGACAAACAAGCTGTATGTATAACACTATTAAAAAATATGCAATAACTGCACAATAAATGGTTAGCTAGCTACCCTGTTTCATAGTTTTACCATAGATAATTAATATTATCCAGGAGCACAGATCGAGTAAAGTTAATACTCAACCTGATCTGGGCGCCCGTAGATAATCATATATGTGCATACACTTTATAGATTAGCAAGTGTACACTAGTAGCTGTACATGTCTTGTAGTTCGTAAAGTGTTTTTGTAAAGCAATAGATAACAGATAAAGATGCTACAAATGCCTATATTTTACCATATTGTTGTTATAATATTTTTTGGAATATCGACAGCATTAATACGGTAAAAAAACATATTAAAATCACATTAGGGGTCACTTAAACCACTTGCCTTTAATAATGAAATAACTATTTAATTATAAAAGCTTGCGAATTTAATTAGGCATTTACAACGAAAAGTAGCGCAATGAGAAAAGATAATTTATTATTATAAGTTCATAGCACAACTCCCACGCGTCTCTTTACTTTTAATCGCGCCTTCGTGAGTTTATCTCAAATAAAAAATAAACATAAATATATGTTTGATGCTGAAATATTTTTGCCGAACCATAAATCCCATGTTCAATTTTTTAGGTCGACTGGTGGTAATATCTCCCTCTACACAGCGGCGTTGAGGGGTTAGATTAACGCGGGGGTGGCGATAAATTCTAATGAAATTTCTACCAGCGTCAAGCTATCTGACTATGTGGATGTAACAAATGTTCATTAAAATAGTAATACACAATTCCACTCAGTATAGTGCTACAGATAATTTAAAAACTGAAATAGAGAGCGGATTTTAATAAAACGACATATAAATATTTATAAACCCTTGGCAACATACTTGTTTCTCTTATTGCTTTCAACTATAACTATTTCTGTCTGTGTTGCTCAAAACTTGTTAGGTATAAGTACTATACTAAAGCTTACCGAGCGGCTTTGGTTGTATACCATAATCTGGACTCAGTTTGAAACATGGCAAACCCCCGTACCATTTTTCAGTTAAAATATCCATGTAACCATTAGATGAATATTTAGCTATTACAGCTGATATGCTTTCCTGAAATAACGCAGGTTATTATTTAATCAAATTTAAGCTTCTATACCTAAGCTTTACGTACATATTACATAATATTTACCAAACCATTAAAAAAAACAATTTTTCACGTCTACACCGATTTATCTGTACATCAAAATAAAACAAACTCCTGAAAAAGCATGTCATGGCTCAAACAAAAAAATTATTTCAGATCTGTTGATTTATGTCATTGATTCGCGTAAACCTCAAGAGTGTATTGAACAACGTCAAGATAAAATGACGTATAATCGGTTGAGTTGAAGCAACACGACACCAGGCTATTGATCACACCATTAGGAGATTCGTGTGAGTCATCCATCAATCTTCTCGTGCAAAGATCCGTCGGAGGTCTCTAATACTCAGGCCGATCATAAATCCTCCAATTCATGTAAATCTACGCTACATTTATTTGAAATCTCATAGTAATAACTCAATTAAGATTTCAATACCTTTGAACATTACATTATTATTTTACTTTGAATTATTTTTCACAGTATTTTCGTTGCCTACATACCTTCAAAGGGAATCCTTTCGCCATACCGATGGCATAGGCATCGGTTAGCGGATGGTCGTTAATTCGTTGTAGTTTGCATCCGTGGTCAGTGGCTCGATAATAATCCAAAACGGGTGTGTCAGCTACTAAAAGATCTAATGTACCATTTCTGTAACAAAGTGATTTTTTTACAAGTAAGGATCAAAAGCAAGTTATTTCGATGTTTACGAAGTTAAGAAGAAATTACAATATGATAGGAAGAGCTACAGTTCATCATTAACAAAACTATTATATCCTAAGTGAGTCTCGATAGAACAGTAATTGTCGTTGAAGAATTTTATTTTAAATAAATTTTAAAAATTGTGCTGCGAAGCAAACAAACGCTTTTACTTTGCAAGACTGTAGGTCTATTTGTCTTCATTTTGACTGATTAGAGTTTATTGCTTAATTGGTGAAATAAAAAAGCGAATACTATATCAAACTGTAAAATAAATGTACTAAAAGGTAATAAGTGGTGATTGGAGTGCTTTAAGCTAGAATTTTTTATGAGTTCATAAAAGCAAAGCGTTTTTTGAGTCGAATCACCGTGGTTGTTTTATAGATATTCAGATTTCATCAATCATCATCAACAGCCTTTAACAGTCCACTGCTGGACATAGGCCTCTCCTTAGAAAGGAGGTTTTATTCAGATTTACCTTTATTTAATACTTTTGAATTGTGATTGAAGCTAATTATGTCTACAAGGCTCACAAGGTAATTAATATAAATGATAATAGTGTTAATATCTTTATTTCAATTAATTGATATCGAGTAGATGCTGAGTGCCGCAAAAGATACTATAGGGATTAATAACACCATACATTTATTGATACATAACATTATTAATCAGCGTTTAATTAAAGTGATAGAACACAACTTTTATACATAATCTATTTTGATCCGGTTCAAATTATAAAACTATTTTAATACTTTATGATAGGACTTTTTACCTTTTAAACTTATGATTAACTCTTTTTGGTTGCTAGGTTACTGGGTTAGGTGCAAAACTATCCCAGTAAACCAGCGAAAAGTGCAAATCTTTTGTATCGTTTCCTTTTTTGTATATAACAATATAAGGTGGTTCTCTAAATCTTTTGTAACTATAATTTAAATAAAATTTAAACAAACCGCAAAATTTATTAACAATTATCCAAATAGTTATCTTACCTCAATCTCTGAATACCTTCTTCCACGTCTTGAAGGGCATAACGTCGCATATGCTGCGCCAGAGCTGGATAATTTCGTTGAATGTAATATTCTGCTACCGAAGACTTTGCTGTACCCACTTTAAGGGATAGCCACTAAAAATTAAGTAATTTATCAAAATCATAGAAAAAAGAATATTACTTGGGAGATATCAATGTCCGATAAGTTATTAACTTTCTACTAAGTCAATAAGGTTTCATACAATATATGTATTTAGTAGTTATAAATCACACGTATTTTTTTATTTTATGTATCTAATGACACTACTAGCTTTTTTCTGCACAAAGTATATTCCATCTAGTACGTTATATACTCACCAAAGTACAACAAACTACTAACAATCACTATCTTCTATGTTTATATATATACTACTTTGATATCCTCTTTTTATCTATTTCCTAACACACCAGCCATTACCCTAAACCTCTTCCCCTTCATGTTTTCTCTCCATACCACGGTTGCCTAAGAGATTGCCTCTGAGCGATAAGGCCGCCATTTGTCTAACCTAATTTAAGTTCATTATTGTATATTTATACCTGGTGTACATTAAAGTGATATATAATTATTATCATTTAAAGAGTATTTTAATGAATACATACGTTATCTCGACCTTGATAATCATCAACAGCATTGTGAAAAAATAGTCCAGCAATGAGAGCGGCAATATTAGCAGTATAGCTCGCAACAAATATCACGGAGAATCCACCCCAAACGTTTATGAGAAACTTGTTTGGCCAACTTTTAGGCGCTTTAAACGCTACCAAATGTCCACATAAAAGTCCCCACATAACCCATAGGGCACTAGAAATACTAAAGTTCTTTGATCTCTGTCGCCCCCAAGGATTTAATCCAAAAGGAGATAGCCATTCGTAAATGGCCACTGCAATTGCAGTGACATTTAAAGAAGTGAATATTGCAATCCATAGTTCAGGTGAAAATGGCAAAAGAAATGCAAGCAGCGGTATGTCTGGTTTTTGGTTTGGTGCTGATAGTGCGGACACCGCGCTCAGAAAATAGGGTTGGCTATAATCAATTACTTCAGCTCTGGCTGAAGATACACTTAAAGCTGCAAATGACATATGTGCAGCTCCAGACACTAAATCACCCACTATTCCATTCCATTTTTCAATGTTTTCATCAGCTTCAATATCAAAAAAATCTACATTTTCGTCGATCTCTTCATCCAATGCATTAAAACCGCTGCGGTATGGAGAACGATTGCTTTTGTAATTATTATTATTTTTATTTATTGGAGTAACTTCACTAAACATTCTTTTATAATCAAATATTCTAGGCAATGGTTTTAAGAGATTTCTAGAACCATATAAACCGTCTTCCACAATGTACAAGTGAAAATCAAATTCTAACTCTTGAGCAATATTTTCTAGAAGATCCATAGCAAACCCATAGCAACAATGTGTATCCATTTTTGAAAATATAGGCTTTGGTGTGGGGAAAAAAAAATCTTCGGCTTCCTGATCACTTTCTCTATCCAATACATTAAAGGCAAGAGTCAAGTTATCCCGATCTGATGTTTGAGGGCGATGACATGGAAGACCTCTGAGACATTGTCCATCTTCGTCAAGTTCTCCTTCCATGACGAATGGTGGGGCTAGTGCTGTGACTATGCGAAATATAGTACGAGCGCCATCAGATTGACCGTGTGCTACAAGACGGCCACCAGGCCATACAATAGTGTGTAATCTGACACTACGGCCTAAAACACGTCCTACTTGTCTCCACATACTTTCTCCCTCAGGCCCCGGTACTAAATTTAAAAGTGCGAAAGAAGCTGTGAGAGCATGTTCAGATTTTTCAGTGCCACCTGCAAGTGCTGCTGCTGAAGACATTCGAGTTTCTCTGCAAAGAACGAAAGAATCATTAGTTTTAGTAAATTTCAGAAATGACTAAGTGAGCTTTTCATATCATTCATGGTAAAATCCACTAATATTGTACCTATACATGATTTTCAAACTTGAAATGCTTTGTATAATAATTTGAAGATAATCCTGAATACCTAAATAATTTTATATGGCCTACTTAAGTAACTGAATTTACGATGTTCATTTGAGTGGATCGTTGGTAACATAAAAAAAAACATAGTAAAAATTGGATCATACAGTTTTCATCCACTTAAAAAACGTTGGGTATATCTTTCTCTAAATATTTTATTTGCCCTTTAGATTACAAACAATGCTTATAAACACGTTTGGAATGGTCCTGACTAGGTTTTATTTCAGAATATATCACTTTGGTATATCAGATTATGCAAATATTTTTTAGTCATAATACCGAATAATGTATCTACGTCATTTGTTATCATTATTTTTGGTTTTACAATAAAACTTAATCTCATCTTTGCTATATGGTACATTTAAATACTAGTATAGTATAATAGCACGAGTGTCGTAGTCATGGCCTGGCACAGCTGTTGACGTCTTTATAATTAAAACGCAGCTTAGGTATTTATCAAAAGAGCGCCCTTTAAACAGTCCAGAATCGTATTAGTACCAGCCAGTCAATCTAAAGTACGTAAGTATAGTTTATGTATGTACATATATATTTCATTACAATAAATAAAATAAATATTACAGTTGTATCTTACAAAAATAGTTCACATTCAGGTTACATTAAAATTTCTAGAGAGAAATTTAAGAAATTCTTCAATTGATAGAACTGAAACTTTAATTATCATTTACATACATATTATAAATACACTTTCCCAAAATTACTAAAACCTTATAGTATTAATATTCGATACAGATGGTTCAAAGATCACGTAAAAACAATAATATTTTTAAAAGTGTTTTCTTCCAAATGAAAAAAAAATCCAAATCGGTTTATAATTTACAGAGTTTTGAGGTTACGAACATAAAACAATACAAACGAATTAAAAACCTCCTCTTATTGGAGTCAGTTAAAACAGGATTAGTAGGAAAACTCTTTTATGATTGACTAGTTGCTTCAACATTTTCTTAAACTAATTAGACAATATAATGTCTTTTCACAGCTTGACTTTTTTTTTTAAAGACAACTCCTGCACTAGGAATATATCCTGTGTCGCGGGGGACTTCACAAACATACATGAAACGGACACAAAAAACACCCAAATTCAGAACAACAATTTATGGATCACACAAAGTGTCGTCCTACGTGGGGATCGAACCCACAACACTAAGCGTAGTAGGACGCGGCGTGGCGAGTGCTTAAACCACTACGCCATCCGTGCAGTCGAGACTTAACCACATTAAATTTCATAGCTAAACAAAACTTTCCCACTAACAAACTGCTGGATTGCTAATAAAATATCTTATTTTTATGATCTCTTACTACCGCATTATCACAGTAATCAGTAGAATCTTCATTTCTAAAAGCTGCATGAATACTCGAAATTTACATAATAGTTGAAAGAAGTTTGCAATAAGACAACAAGTTGATTTACTGCATCACTAGATTTTTTTCCCTGGAAACGGAAACGCTGGCACCAAGACCTTAACGTTACGATATTAAATTATCAAACACTTGAAATTTTTACTTGAGAACAGGCTGGCCGAGCACTAAAAGTGACGGTTTGTATGATGTGATATTATTTTATTTTCTGTCCGACAGTTACAAATTACTATGAGTACTATATCTCATGGATATATACTATACATATAATTAGTCCAGTGTCCAGTGTCGTAAGATGTTTCCAAAACAACGAACACATTGTACAATAGATTTTCAAATGAATATTTTAGCTGCTAAGAAATATTCAACATCTGTTACTATTAACAATAATAATTTGATATATGAATAAACGTATGAAAAACATATTACACCATCAAAAGTATATAACTTACAAAATTGGATCGTTCAGGCCCCTATAGAGAGGAAATGGGTGTGAACCTGCAATATCCGTACCTTTGCGCCGATATCCACGCTCCGGGTTAACCGAAAATGATAAAATAACATTGCAATACGTAACAGCTTCCAATGGATGAGATACTTATAAAATACACATAATATAGTTATTGAAATAAAAGTGATTTTAGTAAAAAAAATACTTATGTTTGTTTGTATTTAGGTTTGTTCTAATTTAAGTTCCTTTGACCATAGTGGGCATAACTTTTTTTTTTCTTTATAGTCACCTCCCGCGCTAGGAATATATCATGGGTCGCGGGGAACTTTATAAACATAGATGCAATGGACACAAAGAACACTCAGACTCAGAACGTCAGTTTGTGGATTACACAAAGTGTCGTCCCATGGGGGATCGAACTCACAACACTCAGCGTAGTAGGAAGCGGCGTGGCGGCCACTTAAACCACTACGCCATCCGAGCATCCATATTTACTTTAGTCTTACTTACTTACTTTAGTTTTACTTTAGTCTAGTAGACTAAAGTAAAACTGTGGGGCAGCGTACATGTTTACAATTCTCCCTACAAATCTAGTTTGATCAATGTCCTGGTTTGATGAAGAGCCTTGTGTAACAACTGGTATCGGGTACATAACTGCATTTCTATTTTATTTTAGCATTTAGTATATTTTTATATCATTATTATGTTTTAATTGGTATAAAATATTTTTTAACTTATTTAAGTAAATATTTAATTATACCGTTAGATATTGTTTTACCAACGACTAACAAGGAATAATTTTAAATCAACGTGACGTTTTAGACATCGACTCATTGAGATCCTATTGAGGAATTCCTTTTGAGGAATTCTTGAATTTGGCAGGAGGTCATTCAATTTGTCACGATTCTAAGTTAATGAGGACTTTTGTTTTGTTTGGCTACCTAATTTTTTGTTTTAAAATATTAACTGGCTAAACTATATTCTACGCTATTTTATATTTGAAATATTTTGACAGTCGGACAAAAGGAATACGGTTAACGTGCAATTGAAAAAAGCCGTTATAAAGTATTTGTCAATAGATTTCATAAACAATATTTAAACACACTTTTAACTCAATATTTAAACACAGGTTCTGCTTGCTTTTTTAAAACAGAATAGTCTAGATGATCTTTCGGAAACCATCCCAGTTATTTGGCTTTCGCTTGGTTTAGGTGACTATACGCTGTTCAAAGTTTCACTCATCTCATCCCAGTTATAAAGACAGAGGTTAAAGCTCTCTTCAACATACAGGCTCCAAATACAAGATCATCACTGACCCGAGCAGTTGTTGCTGTCGTTACCCACTATTATCAAACCAAAGGCACATTTTAGAAAGCTAGGAACATTTAATTTAAAAAATGTGTAAATTAAAGGTATTATTATATTTACTGATGTATGGCTTATGGCTATGAGCTCTGACGACTAATTTAATTAATGATAATAGTAGGATTATGCAGGATCATAATATCACGATTTAGTTGAAAAAGTGGAAAAAGAAAGAAAAACTGAAATATGCGAACAATGGATAAAAATAATCGAAGAAGCAGTAATGAAGTAAAGAGTGCGTAAAAATGTATTCACAATCGACCTGACCTATTTAACCGTCCTGTTTTCTATATGAACTAAAAACTATCTCCGTCAAGTCATGTCTGTAGATGGCGATCATTTCGTCGACTCAGCCCGTACAGCCTGGCCATCTGCCAAAATTTGCCACTGTGCAGTTCCGACCGATTTATGATAATACGATCGAGTTGGATTTTGCCCAAAAATATTAGATACGAAATTTTCTTTATTTATAATATAATTCAATTGTGATAAATTTAGGAACTTCCACTCGAGAATTTAATACAAAGAATTCTTTTGAAAGAAATGAATGCATTGACCCGATTCAGAGAAGGGAAAATTTTCATAGTTCTCTGGTATAATTTTAATTAAAAAAGGTTGACCCATATCCTGATGTCTATTGTTATGTCTTAGACTTTCGGCATACATTTTTTTTAAAGGCGAAAGTTGATGTAAAAATAAACTTCAAAATTAAAGTAGCAAAAAAATAACCTATGAAACATTCAATCGAAGAAGAGACGTGAAAGCCTAAGGAATAAATTGACTAACGATAGAAAACGTGTAGTTAGTAATTTACATATTAAATATTTATACATTTTAATTCTGATAAGTACGCTAACGAGTATACTTATCATTTTATAGTGCGGAAATACTAGTGTCCGTAAGCACTCGCTACATGAGTTAGTTGACTGGTTAAACGCTGATTAGGGACCCGTCTTTAGCATCTAAGAAAGTCTCAAGAAGTGCGTGGTTTTAAATTTTTGTCGTAGGCCTTTGTTTTCCATTTTATTTGTAAGAAACTGTCACATGACTATTCAAGAAGAATTAATTTGCTCTTGAAAGTTCCATGACCATCTTTGAATCAGAAAATGATGATCAGATACCTTAAGACTTCGGGGACAATTGATCCTCTCGATGCGGTCACCAGCCGGCGATAGATCAACACGCCTATAGTGAAGCTGCATACTAATGTAGCCCTCATTTTCAGAATCCCATTGCTCGTCAAAAAGGCCTTTTAGTACACCGGTATTTTACAGCTTTAATAAGCTGCTAGTTCACGTCGATATACTGTGATGTACAGGTACATCTGTACCTGTACATTATTAATTACATTATCAAATCGGAAGTAATCGAGTATATCTATACCCGAATACTTCCGATTTCCGAGCTACCAATGTTTGTGTAGTTTGGATCTACTACCTATGAACCATACCACTACTAATTATAATACGAGTATTGTCTTATTCCCGATTAACACTTTGATAAAAAAGGGTTCATATTTTCTTTTTGTGAAATGGGTAAATTTCAAATAAATACGGGTTCGATGCCCGGGTCGGACCAAATGTTTGTATGATCTGCGAATATTTGTTTCGGAGTTTGGGTATTTCCTAAGTATAATATGAAACACATATAATAG